AAGGGTTAATGGGTTCCTTCCATTTTAGTATTTGGCACCCGGAAAAATGCTTGGACTGCAAGATCGTTAAAAAGAAAAGGGGGGGGGGGACAGAAATGCACTGCAGCTGGTACGTAAGGGAACTTTCTCAAGCAGCAACCCTGTTTGAACAAGGACCTGCCTGGCCCGCTCTCAGGCCCCCAGAGTCTTTCTCTGTTCAGCCCTGCATCCTCTTGGCCCCCTCCCCCCAGTGACTTAGTAGGAAATCAATCTGTCCTTCCTGGGGGGCTTAAGGCGCCCACCCTAGGGGACCCCCTGTAAGTCCTGCCTCTCTGCCTCGGCTCACTGGGGCAACTGCATCCCCCGGGGCAGAGCCCGAGGCTCCTCGCAGCACGTCTGGCCCCCACAGAGCTGGCTGGCTCCACCGTCCGGGGCCCCAGCAGCCCTCCCCTCCTTCGTTGCCCCACTTTGCTCAGGAAGCAGTCCCAGCAAGGACCCTGGGTGAAGAGGATGGTGGGTCCTCCGCCCCAGCACCGGCTGATCCAAGACAGGCATGTGTCGGGCTCTCACCAGCGAGATACGGGTTAAGTCTGCGCTGGGGGCTCTGGGCACGTTTCCTCACTCTGGTGTGTGATGAAGTGCGGGGTGTTTGGCTGCTAAGCGGGCGGGGGGAAGGCCAAAGCCGCCGCGGGCCTGTTGGTGACCAGGCGTGGCCGCCCGGTCTCCGGGCCGCCGTGGAGCCCTCCACGTGGCGGGCAGTGGCTGTCCCCTGTCCCTTGCAGGCGAGTCCAGTGGAGAGGCCGGTCCACCTGCGGCTCAGTGCAGACCAGCAGGAGCCGGGCCGGGCCTCGCGGTCAGCCTGGGTGGAAGGAGCTGAAGATGGCCGTCAGCGTGCTATGGCCAGGCCAGGAGGAGGCGGGCGGTGGCCGGGCTGAAGGGCGGAGAGAGGGGAGACGGGGGCTGAGGCCATCGGAGCAGGAGGGCTCTGAGCACCCTCAGCCCCTGCGCGGCCGGGGTGGGCGCCTAGAAGGCCCGTCGCTCACCCACAGCCTGGATGCCAGGATGCCTGGGCACAGGAGGGCCGAGTACCCGAGCACCCATGAGAACATGCCAGAGATTCCGACTGCGGAATGGCTCGCTGTGCTCACTATTAACAGCTTTGTAAACACGCAATCCTCCCTTAACTGCTCCGAACGAGCTTGGAGATGGCCAGCAAGTGTCTCCTCCATCCAAGACACATTTGTGAGGCCGTGTCTTGCACGCTGGGCTTTGGGGGTGCACGGGGCACAAATAAGACAGCCCTGTCCCCGGGCAGGTCGCGACGTGGTGGTGAGCGGTGAGCACCTGCTGAAGGGCACACCTGCTGCACAGAGCCGAGGCATTGTGAGGAGTTAGGGTCCGAGCACTGAGCTGAACACTTGGCATCCATTTTCTCTCTCTCCCTGGGGCAGATCGGAGTTTGCGAAGTCTGCCCGCTCTGTCCTGTGCATCCCACCCTGCGTGCACGTGACCACCGGCCTCCAAAACAGGAAGGCCCCTGGGGCGCCAGTAGATGTTCACCGACAGGCTATTGGGGAAAACACGCCTGGTCTGCAGCACCTGCCAGTTTCTGTGCGTGAATATCTCCGGCACGGCCTCAGCCAAGCCCCCGATGGGGTGCCCGTGAGCACACACGAGGCCGGGCCACGACGTGGCCTTTCCCCCCGTGCAGAGCCGACAGACAGGGCTACCCCAGGGGCAGGACCAATACCAATATATGGCAGAACAATGTGGGAGTGATAGGTTTTGAGAATTGACGGCCTGTGTTTTTTTAATACGATTTATTTAATTATAAGCTTATATAATTTCACCTTTTTAAAGACCTGTATTTATTTATTTGACAGAGAGAGAGAGCAAGAGAGGGAACACAAGCAGGGGGAGTGGGAGAGGGAGAAGCAGGCTTCCCACCGAGCAGGGAGCCCGACGCGGGGCTCGATCCCAGGACCCTGAGAGATTATGATCTGAGCCGAAGGCAGACGCCTAATGATTGAGCCACCCAGGCACCGCCCCACACCCCCGATGGTTTTCTTTTTTTTTTTTCTTTTTTAAAGATTTCATTTATTTATTTATTTGACAGAGAGAGACACAGCGAGAGAGGGAACACAAGCAGGGGGAGCGGGAGAGGGAGAAGCAGGCTTCCCGCGGAGCAGGGAGCCCGATGCGGGGCTCGATCCCAGGACCCCAGGATCATGACCTGAGCCGAAGGCAGACGCTTAACGACTGAGCCACCCAGGCGTCCCTATATAATTTCACTTTTAACGAGGCCCGTGACGACCCGGCTGGCGGAATTCCGAACACTTTAACGGGCTGCTCCCGACACTGGACACCAGAGGCTGGGGTGAGACCTCCCCGCACGGTGGCCGTCAGCAAACCTCGCGGCCGCCACAGCCCCCGAGGCCTGGGTGGGCCCTGCTCCCTCAGCAATCGCTAACCACAGCCGCGCTGATCTTGCAGGTGACGGGGAGCAGGGTCCCAGCGGGAACGCAAACTCGTCCCGAATGTCACTTGCCACCACGGAAAGCTGTTACCCTTTAACGACCAACCCACTTCCAGTTCTCCCACAGCCCCCTCAGCTACCAAACCAACATCTAGAGAATTTGCTCTTTCAGAGACAGGCCTCCGAGGCTCCCAGAAAAGTGCAGTGTCTGTGGATGCGGCCTGTCCTGGCTGCTGCTTACCCTTTGCTGGGAGTTACTGGGGGGAGGGTGACCCTGTCACAGCTCAGTGCTGGGGACAGGTTTGCAGCCTTCCTCCCGAGGAGCTGTAACCGTGGAGTCCCCCAGGCTTCATCTTTCTGGGGCTGCAAGACGGGGTGGCAGGTGAGGGGCAGCGGCCGCGTGTCCTCACGGCAGAGGGGCCCGCTGGTGGATCCCCACAGACAGGAAGGACTGCAGACGTGCCCAGAGCAGGCCACAGAGCCGCGACACCAGGAGTGCTCGGTGTGGCCGGCGAGAAGTGGGCCTCGCGGTCAGCCTGGGTGGAAGGAGCTGAAGTTGGCCGTCCGGCAGGACCCTGACCCGGCACTGAAGGGCTGGGTGGGGAGCCCAAGTCTGCGATGGAACTCCTCTCACTGGACAACCCCCTGCTGGGCCACCAGCGACCATGCGGGACTCTTTCCCTTGTGCAGGGACAAAGGTGGGGAGCGAGGAGGAGGGAGCTGGGGGCTGCCGGCCTGGCTGCCTCGGGCAGGAGTGGCCCGCCCGCCTGGGAAGCCAGCTTGTCCCAGCAACACGGGGGGGGGGGGGGGGGGGGGGGCGGTTCCTTCCTGGCTCGGGGTCTGGAGCACCCAGGGGACCCCTGGCTATGTCTGACGCGGGCAGTGTTGCCCGTGAGGACAGAAGCAGGACCCTCCACCTTCCTCCCGAAGGTTCACACTGCACACACCCCAAGCCATCCCATCCAACCCGTCCTTCTGCCTCCGGGGCCCCTGCCCTGGCGTTTCTCCTGGATGCGTCTGAGCTCTCTCCGGGCCTCATTGGAACATCCCGCTAGGTCCACCCCAGGGCTGTGCGCGGGCTTTCACTCTCAGACTGTGAGCAACTGTGGATGCGGGCAACCGACTTGGCTCAGTCACTGAACTCCCGGAGGAGAGGCAGGGGGCCCCGCGTCAAGCTCCCGGTCCATGCCCCAGATTTCCCTCCAACAGAGCGACCTTCTGGAGGGTCTTCAGTGCCCACTCTCCAGGATCTCGATCTACAGTGGGGCGTCCCAATGAGAGGCTCTTCCTGGGCTGGTTTTGGAGATCAGGGAGGCTGATCCACGCAGGTACCTGCCACGTGGTCATGGCTCAGAACGTTAGCAAGAGTGAGGGATCATTTCCCTGGGGACTCAGTCTCGTGGCCGTGGAGGGTGGGCCGGCACTCCGGGGGGGACAGATCCTGCCGCGGGGCTGCTCCGTGAGGGGCACACAAACTATCTGTCACCCCATGTGCTCTGCTCAAGAGTTGTAAGCACGTGGAAAGTGCTTCCTAAATATGCCTTCGTCCCTGCCTTTGAGAGAGAGGAGGCGGGCAGCTTAGTTTAGCTCGGAGAGAAAGCTTGCCAAAAAAGTCTAGAAAAGGATCTCCAATTTTCCGAGTGTTACAAGTTTCAGCAACATCGTTGATTGACCTTTTTTATCCTCTTCCACCTGTTGATTTCCCCAACCATTCTTAAGCGCTTTCACCCCTCCCGACAGGGGGCAAGGAGAACCGGGATCATGCAAGGGTTGGGTCTGGTTTTCAGCATTCTACGATCTTGGACAGTACCTGCAGCAAAGTGACCCTGACCCGGTTCGGGCACAGCACGCTGTGTAGACGGATAACGCTCGCAGGTGACTGCAGTGCACGCTTATAGGTCAGTGACTGTGAGTCAAGGAGGAGCTTTGCTATTTGGGCTGGACGCTGGTCACTGGAACGTGCTTCCGTCTTTAGCCCCGCCCACCTGTCAGAGAGCGGTTTCTTGGCCCATCAGGGAGTGGGGGGTGGCACGGAGAAACATATGCCCTGCCCCCAGGCCGGACCAAACTTTGCTCCACTGGATGTTATTGTTCTGAGGGTGACAGTCTCCCGACCGCCGCGACATAGCTCTATAAGGCTGCAGGACACGTCAGTGCGCTGATCGGGCTGTCCCATGCGGGGTGGCTCTTCTGAAGGCCAGAGCTCTCTAAGGAGCACTGGCTGTAGGTTTCTGGTCAGGTCAGGGTGGCGCCCACTCTGAGGTCGCAGGGTCAGCAAACACACGACTCGAGGTGTGTCGCTGGAGGGCACGTGTACAGCAGATGGCGAAGGAGCGCTGTGGGACCCCAAGACAGGTGTCCCTGACGAAGCCTCAGATGCTCAGGATCACACACGCAAAACCACACATGTGGCTGGGGAAAATCACTGCGGTCTGACCGGGCGTGCACGCAGCAAGGGAATTATCTTCCCCCCACCCTCCCCAAAAAAGCTTCATGTTTGTATCAGTCAGCTCAACCCAACAGAACTAAGTGCACAGACTGGGCGTCTGAAAACAAAAGAGATTTATTCCACCCCTCTCACCCCCCACCCCCGGGGCTGGAGGTCCAAGATCCAGGCATGGCAGGGCCGGTCCCTCTCGAGGTCTCTCCTGGGCGTGCAGACGGCCATCTCCTCCCCAGGTCCTCACGGGGTCGTCCCTCTGTGTGTGTCTCTGTCCTGATGTCCTCTCCTTATAAGGACTCCAGTCGTATTAGACTAAAGCCCCTTAATGACATTGTACCTTAATCATCTCTTCAAAGGTCCTATATTCAAATACGGTCACATCCTGGGGTCCTGGAGGGGGTAGGGCTTCAACCTATGGATTTTGAGGGGATACGCCTCAGCCCATAGCAATGTCTTGGTCTTCTTTTTCTTTTTCTTTTTTTTTTTAAGATTTTATTTATTTATTTGAGAGAGAGAAAGAGAGACAGTTCGCAGAGGGAGAAGCAGACTTCCCGTTGAGCAGGGAGCCCGACGCGAGGCTGGACCCCAGGACCCTGGGATCATGACCTGAGCCAAAGGCAGGTGCTTAACTGACTGAGCCACCCAGGCATCCCTAGTCTTCTTTTTCTTTTAATTTTTTTTTTTTAAGGTTTTACTTATTTGCGAGAGAGAGAATGAGAGACAGAGAGCATAAGAGGGAGGAGGGTCAGAGGGAGAAGCAGACTCCCCGCTGAGCAGGGAGCCCGATGCAGGACTCGATCCCGGGACTCCAGGATCATGACCTGAGCCGAAGGCAGTCGCTCAACCAACTGAGCCACCCAGGCGCCCTAGTCTTCTTTTTCTTAATAAAATGCCATTTATAATTGTAAAAAGTTGATAAGCACATGGCAGGCAATAGGAATCTATAATAGGAACCCTAACACATCTGTCCCCACCTTGACCAGAGACAGGATTTAGCCTTGGATGTTGATGCCCATCACTGTGGTCACCACCCGCAGCTCTGACTCACTCCCATTCAGCAATAAGGCTGAAGTCCATCAGGAAACAAGGGTCCCCGGCTGGTCACCAAGCTGCTCTCATGTGTCTCTTGCTGGCTTCCGGGTCTTCCCTACCACAGCCCACCCCTTTGGCAAGCCCAGCCAGTCTCCCAGATCCCCTGAGGGCACCCCTGGCTCCTCTGGGCCGAGCCATCGCCCCCTGCACGCAGCAAATCAGCCCCCAAATGGGGCCGCACCTGCTGACATCTGGTCTACCCACTCCACAGGTCGGACGCCATTTTAGCAGACTGTTGGAGAGAGTGAGCTCCTTCCTCAATGTTTGATTCATTACCTGGAACGCTCAAACTTTCGATCCAGCGCAACAGCCGTGGCCGATGATGGGCAGACCTCCCATGGGTGCAGCCAGGATTGTGTGCACGCTGACCCTTGACTTCCGCCCACACGCGTGTATCAACATGATCCGGAATGAGGATGACTTTCCCGCCCACGTGAACTTGATTCTGCTGTTTTGTTACTTGCTGAGGAATTCATGCTTATCTTAGCAGCTTATCACGGTGACAAACTCAGAGTGACCACAGATGGAGGCGCTGTGCTTGTTGCAGGGCTGAGCGGGGCGGGAGACTGAGAGGCGCGGACGAGCTGGAAGATTCACCCCAGAAAGGAATGTTGGCAAGTAAAATTATTTACTTAGAAGTGCACGTCTAGGTTGGTCACTGGGGCCCTTCCAGGCTAGTTGGAAGAATGTTGTCATCCCAAATATGTGGCAAGAGCTGGGGTGAACAAGCTGCTTTGTGTCATTTTGTTTGGAGAAGGGAAATCGGCTTTGCAGAGAAACAGTCTCCACACTGACAGCCAGCAGGGGTGGGAAATACACAGCGGCCCCACTCTCTGTGTCGAGGGCTCAGAGGCTAATGACGGGGCCAGCGTTACAAGAATGCATCATTTTAAAATACTGGCAAATGTGGTTTTGTCCCACATTACGAAAGTGATGTGAGCCCACGGTGGAATCCGGGAAAACCAGGAGAAGTGCGAGGTGCGCTTGCTGGCAGTCCTACGCCCCGGCGCTGGCCCCACTCACCGCCTGTAACACCCTTCCTTCTCGCTAGGTTTCTTCTGAGCACATTTTCATGTACGGAAGCATGCCTCTCCCACACGGCTTCAGACAGTGTGAGCAAAGTCTGCTCCAGCTGAGGACATTCTCTGGGGCCATCCCCGTAAATGTTGGCATCCGGTTTCCATCTCCGGCCCCTAGGGAGGTCCCCTGGCGAGGCAGGCCAGGCCTGGAGCCAGCGCTCTGGGGCTCCGATGGCCATTGAGGGTTCCCGTTTTGTTTTGCTATGAAGTGGGGACAGCAATACCTACTGAGAGGATAAAACCTGTGAATGATGGGGCATCTGGGTGGCGCAGTCACTTAAGCGTCCAGTAATCTTGGGATCGCAGAGTGAGGAAGGCCTGGCCCCCAGGCCGGCCGTGGCAGATGTGTGGTCTGTTGGTCTCACGTTCATGGCTTTCCTTTGCAGGACGGGGGTTCTCTACTTAAAAGGAACCCCAGAGCCTGCAGGGCCCAGAAGGAAGTCTCAGTTTAATCATCCGGAGATTATCCAAAGGCTTGTCTTTCTTCAGTGTTTGACTTACTAGAGTCGCAGCCTGGACTTGGGCCCCCACCTCGGCCTCACACACGTGTCTTATCCTTGGTCTTTGCCCGGCTTCCCCTTGGAAACCTCTGGAAGGCCAGGCTTCATCTTGCCAAGTGGTGATGGGCATCTGTCAGGGGTCTGGTTTCTGAGGACTTGCTCACTGCTCTTCTTGAAGGGGACTTTAGATGGGGCAGAGAAGGGGGACCGTAACTACGCTGGACTCTGGAGAATCCACGGGGAAGGAAAACAGTCGCGTCCCCCGCCGCCTACTTACTTATTTAGGAAGAAAAATGATGGCTGCTGAAAACCAGAGCAGCCCCCAGGCCCTTTGGTTCTTGGCCTGGCTACGACAGGCCAGGCAGAGTCCCCAGCTGCCATCCAAAGCCTCCCTTCCAGAGACGCAGATGGAGACACGCGGGCGTCTGTCCCCTGAGGTCTGCAGAGCAGAGAACAGCTGCCGTGGACCCAGGGAGTGTGACGCGATGTTTTCTTATGGGAGTAAAAATCTCATTCACAAAATAATCGGAAGCAACCCTGGGGGCCTAGGGGGTTCTTGGGGTGCAGCCTTGAGGGGAGTGGGGGGTCCTGGGCTTTCACGGAGTGCAATCTAGGGGGCCCCAAGGTTTCTCAGGGTGTAATCTGATGGGGTTTGGGGTTTCTTGGGGTGCAATGTAAGGGGCCACTGGGTCTCAGGATACAATTCTGGAGGACCCTAGTGTCTTGGGGTACAATCTGGGGGCCACAGGGTTTCTTGGGGGGCAACCCTGGGGGCACTGGGGTTCCTCTGTGCAAGCTATCCTCACTTGTTCCCACTCTAGACTGGGGAGGCCCTGCTGCAGGTACCCCAGGGAATGACAGGAGTGACTCAAGACAGAGAACTGTCGGCGGGGGTGGGGGCGGGGGGCGGTGCAGGGGGGACTTCCTGGAGGCCTGGAGGAGGGGATGCGCACCGCAGACACTCCTCTGCCCTTGGGGGAAAGTGGGTGTGTTCAGGGGAGCTCCTGCACAACTCTCCTCTGAGAAGCTTCAGTGTCCCAGGTGCCTCTCAGACCATCAAAATCTTCAGCTCCCAAAGGTTTGCTCCCCCACCCCTCCTGCCCTATCGGATGCCTTGGATGGGATTGGCACCAGGCCTCAGGGCACAGGCGATCGGGCTAAGGAATCCTGCAGGTCGGAATTCCTCCCTTAGGTCTGCTGGGAATACACCCACCTACATTCTTGGACTAGTTTAAAATCTACAGGCTTCCCCCCCCAACCAAAAGACCATTTTTAATAGAAAGGAGGTGCTGGTTAATAATGCTTCAGGATAACAACGCTCTCTTCTAAATATATACATATCTCCTTCTTAGGCAGTAATTACAAAAACAAGGGATTTTTTTTTTTAAGCACATTCCTGGACCCAGCCCTGGAATTCGGAGCCCAGGCTCAGGAATCTGCCGGCGTATACGCCCGCCCCTCCCCTGCTGTGATTTCGGTGATCAGCAGGTTGGGAAAGCCACTCCTCGGGCAGAATATTCTTTTCTGGCTTGGGGGTGGAGAAACCAAGGTGAAGGCCTCCTTTAACATCTGCAGTGAGCGCTGGAAACGGCTCTAAACAGATCTCGGAAACTGCCCACAGCCTGATTGGGTTGGTTCTAGTATCATCCCCATCTTCTACAAAATAGGAAACCAGGGCACGAGGAGGTTAATTAACTTATCGAAGTCACATAGCACATCATTGGCCACTCCAGGATTTCAAATTCAGGCGTCCTGCCTGACTCCCGCTGGTGCTCCCAGGGAGCTCCCAGGTGGAGAAGACTGAGGGGCCCCCCGAGAACGAGCACATGCCACCTGGGGGCTGTGCAGGCCCCCTGCCCTGCAGAGAGGCACCTGAGCAATGGAAGACCCAGATCCATTGGCCTTTATCTTTCTCATAGTTGGCGCTCACTGGTCCAGCCTAGGGAGGCTTGCAAACTTCAGAACCAGAAACAACGCTGGAGCCCCCTGCCTGAGGTCAGGGAAATGTGAGGGGCCGCCTGCTCCGGAGGGGTGTCCTGCAGCTGGCGTTGAACCAGGGATGCGCCTGGCCCTCACCGCAAGCAACAGATGCATTCCTGAGTTGTGGCCTGCGGGGTTTTTATAAATAAATTCTATGTTACATTTTCAAAGGAGTATGTTTAGAAAGAATCCTACATTGACGAACCCCTTGTAAACTAGTACCATTTGTTAAATAAATCCTGGACTCTGTTGCCTGGGGGGAGGGAGGAAGAGGAAGGGGAGGGGAGGGCTCACAGACGCCCCCTCCCCTCCCACCTCCCCCCCAACACCCCGTGGGCAGCGTTCACCCTGGTGCCACCTTTCTGCGCTCAGATTCCCATTGCTAGTTGCTCCCACCGAGGCTGTGCCAGGAGGGTCCCCGGCTGAGTTTGGGAGCCAGCCGGATGCTGACCTAAGAACATGGCCACAGAGCCTTCTTACGCGGGGCAGGCCCGTGGGTTGGGGCTCCCTCTTGGTGGAGAGCTGCTGAGCGAACATAAAATATCGGAGCGATTCCTTCTGTAATTCATCATTGTTTCCAAGCAAAACCACAAAGCCCCAGGCCCCGGGTCCGGCCGCTGTTACTTCTGTGTTTCTGTCTAAAATCAGGAAGAGGAGAATGGACCGGCCCTCCCTGGGTCCTCTCCCTGGCCCCCGGACCCTGTGGGCCGCCCCCGCCACCATGGTCGTCAGACTCGGGTTCCCCGCACCCCCCCCCCCCCCAGGGTTCCTGGCACTCAGCTCCGCCTCCTGCTGCCCACCGCGTCCGCCCAGGCCAACGGCGGCTGCTGGTGGACTTACCGTGTCAGGCCCGGAGCCGAGGGCCGCAGGGAGGCCACCCGCCAGCCTGTGAGACCCTGGGGTGTCATTGTCACGGCCCCTACGCACAACCCGGGAAACCCAGGCTGCTGGAGGTGGCAGGGTGCAGGTCCAGATTCTTACTCCTGAGCTTAGCGTTGCACCTCTGCCTTCTCTCCTGCCCCAGCCAGGGACCCTCCAGCTGTCCCCTCCCCTCGGGGCCACCTCCTTGGATGCCCCCACACCAGGCTCCTGCTGGGCCTCACTGTGCCTCAGCGTCTACTCCTTTGTCTTCCCCCAGGGGTACTCGCCCTGCACACTCCTGGGGTGGGGGGCGTCTTCACACCATCGCGGCTTCCCGGGAAGACTTTCCTATCAACCGGAGCCGCTCCTCGCTCCTCCGTCCTGGGGAGTGCGGGCTGACGCTTCCGAGGAGGGGAGCTCCCCTGCGTTGGAAGCCTTCAAGCTGAGCCTGGTGAGTGTGTCAGGGACTGTGAAGGGGACGTCCTGGCATGGAAGGCAGAGGTCGGGGACTTTGCAGCCAGAACATTCTGGAATCCTTGATCTGCCTGGCATGGCCCACTGCCACCAATCTCAGGCCCTGGCGTCTCATTGCAGGGATCCCAGAGGCAGGGGTTCATGCCGGCTGAGGGCTCAGGAAAGGTTTGCACAGCGCAGGATTCGGCAGATGTGCGCGTGGACAGACCTGCACTCCTGAAGGCCTGCAGGATGCAGGTTAAACAGACATCTAACAGCATCTCACTGCCATGTGCTGATGCATGTGTTCGTTGAACCTTTGCTGGATGCATGAATGAATGAGTGAGAGAACGCATGCGCCGATGATCTCCGGGTTGTGCTTTAAGCCAGCAGTAGGGGCTTCTGTCCTATTCTGCGTGGACTCCCATGGCAAAGCACCGTGGACCGGTTGCCTTAAGCAACACCTCTTCTCCTCTGGTGCTGGAGGCTGGAGGTCCGAGATCCAGGCGTGGCAGAGCCGGTCCCTCCCGAGGCCTCTCCTGGGCGTGCAGACACTATCTTCTCTCCGTGTCCTCACCTGGTCTTCCCTCTGTGTGTGTCTGCGTCCTGATGTCCTCTCCTAATAAGAACTCCACTCACATTGGAGTAGAGCCCACCCTAGTGACCTCGTTTT